GAGGTCGCAGGACACATTCTGTCCAGGCGGAGATCTTAGCACCTCCTGGGCTCCTGGAAACTGCACACAGTGTGACTCAGTGCTTGACTTAGTCGTGACGTGCCATCACAGGAGAGCTATGACATGCCCCTGGCCTGCCGCCTTCCGGTGCAGCTGGAGGCAGGACCTGTGTTTCAGAGCCCAGGAGGATGACAGCTCGGCTCTGTGGGTCAGGGACGGTCTGGCGGGAGCCGGGAGCAGATCCTGCTCCACGAAGGGGGTGGGGGGCGGCGTGCGCCTGCCCAGGGCGTGCTCAGGTCAAGTGCGCGTTCGTCAGAAACACCCTCTGGGCCCAGCATGTGTTGAACCCCCCACGAGTTCCGTCCCCCGCTTCCCGCCCTGGCCGGTGCGTTTCTGGGCCGCGGCGCTGGGGCCTCGCACGGAGCAGGGAGCAGGTGGCTCTCGTTCGGCTGGTGCTTCCTCGTCTCTCACTCTGCGGCTGCATCAGCACAGGCCACTCAGACGTGCTGGCTTCATCCAGCGACAGCAAAGAACGTTTTCTTACTTTTTAGACTGCCTTATTTTTTTCATATATTTTATTGATTTTCTACTTGAAATATATTTTTGACATTTTTTAATAAAAAAATTTTTCTAAGGGTAACTGAGACCCCAAAATTATACTGGAAGTTTTTTTTTTTTTTTTGCAAAGGACATAATTTGGATTTATATTTTTTAAAAATCAGTAAATTGCTTTATCTTCATTAGAGATTAAAAATAAGAATTTTTTACCTTTTTAGAACAGGCAAAGTTTTATATTTTAAATATTTTATAGTGATATTTAGCAAATCTACGTTATATCAATTCAAATGTTAATTTCTGAGGGTAAAATTAGGTGGTAATTTATGAGTAGATAATGTTGCAAAAGCTTGGCGATCGTTTGGTTGAATTTCAGGAAGGACATTTCTTACAAATAGTGTCATGAGTGACGGCGTGGGCAGCGTGTCAGCCCAAACACTCGTCTGTGTTAGAAGGAAAGAGCAATGACTGGAGACGTGTTGCCATCTGATCTTCCTGCAGGGTCCCAATTGTCGTTCTGTCTCATAAATTAAGTTTCCACTGCCCAGGAGTCAAGTCTCTCTGTCTTCTAAACATCTTGGTGTGTGTGTGTGTTCACATATGTGTTCACGTGTGTTCACATGTGTTCACGCGTGTGTGTTAATCCTGCTGTAGTCCTGCCTCGAAACGCTCAGCCTGTCTCATAGCAACGCTTATTCTTCACTCTGAACACTGTGGGTGCCCAATGCCGAGTTGACAAAATGCATAGGGAGATGGGCGGATGGGTGGGTGGAGGGGTAGAGCCTGGGGTCTGACTTTAATAACTGAGAAAATAGTGTCTGAGTGACGGCGTGGGTAGCGTGTCAGCCCAAACACTCGTCTGTGTTAGAAGGAAAGAGCAATGACTGGAGACGTGTTGCCATCTGATCTTCCTGCAGGGTCCCAATTGTCGTTCTGTCTCATAAATTAAGTTTCCACTGCCCAGTAGTCAAGTCTGTCTGTCTTCTAAACATCTTGGTGTGTGCGTGTGTTCACATGTGTTCACTTGTGTTCACGTGTGTTCACGCGTGTGTGTTAATCCTGCTGTAGTCCGAGGGCTGAGACGGTGCTCCCTCATCTCATCATCACGATCGTAGTTATAATCCCTCAAGCATTTGTGGTGTGCCTGGCACTAGATAAGTTACTTCTCCTCATTTTACAGAGAAGGAAATTAAGAAATGAGTTTAAAGAACTTGCCCAAGACCACACGCTGTGAGTGTTGGAGGTGAGACCGGAGGCCATAAGCCATGCTGGACCCTACGATGCCCGCCCCCCATGGTCCCATCGACTCAGTTTCACGGAGTAACTCAGTTTCACACACATAACACTCCTCCTCTGCAGTGGCACGGCGACTCCCCTGGGACATAGTCCACTTTCCTCGTGAGTCCAGCTCAGCAGCACTTTGTGTAACAGTGGGTTGGAAGGGTGAAGGATGACGAGGGCTGAGACGGTGCTTCCTCATCTCATCATCACGATCATAGTTACAGTCCATCAAGCATTTGTGGTGAGTGTTGGAGGTGAGACCGGAGGCCATAAGCCATGCTGGACCCTACGATGCCCGCCCCCCATGGTCCCATCGACTCAGGTTCACGGAGTAGTGTTGGGGACACACATAACACTCCTCCTCTGCAGTGGCACGGTGACTCCCCTGGGACGTAGTCCACTTTCCTCGTGAGTCCAGCTCAGCAGCACCTTGGAGCTGACACTGTGGCTGATGAGAATTTTCACTGCACTCAAAACCGGTGCGCACAGCAGTAGCAAAAGGATAAAGGACCGCGCCCCGCGCAGGTTCCAGAATTATTTGGCCCGATGAAGTGGGCCAGCAGCCGCCGCCCACGGCAGTGGGGTTTGTGGCTGACTTCGGGCAGTGCCACTGCTGGCAGGCTGAGCAAAGAGCAGACGGGCCTGGCACCGTCGTCCGCTGGCCCCGGGCTGGGGCCGGACTCGCTCGCTCTGGTTCCTCCCCTCCTGGCCGAGCCTGGTGCTGGCCCCACATGCTGACGCTCTGCTCCCAGTGTCCGTCTGTCCTGTGTCTGTCCACAGAGTAGGTTCTGCGAGAGGAGGGTGTGCTGGTCACTGGGACATGAGCCCCGCTGGGTCGTTTTCATTCTCACTGTTCTGAGAGGGGAGCTTACTGTGCTTGCAGATTTCCGGGGTGGGCCTGGGGCGCAGGTCACTCTGCCTTCTCCATTCTAAAGGCGGAAGTTGCTCAGCTTCCGTGCTGGTTTGAGGGGCAGGCGAGCACCATTTCGTGAGCGGGGCCTCGACATGCTTCTTCCCCTGTGCCGCGCGTGGCCGGCGGAAGCAGTGTTAAGGGTGCAGCCTCACCGCTCGCCGGGCGGCGTCACAGGCGATGTCAGGGCAGTGGTGCCCAACGTGAGTGGCCCTGTCTGCCAGTGTCGTTTGAGCCGGTGCTCCCACGTGACCCCGGGGGGTGATCAGTTCTCCGGGGCGGGGGGCAGACGCTGGGTCTGCCGGCTGTCGAAGGGCAGGCCCCCGCAGAGCGCAGTGCCAAGGAGGCCTGGGCTCCAGCTCTCCGAGGCGGCGCCTCCCTCCCCGCCCCGGCCCCGCCGTCTCCCTGTCCCTGAGATGAGCCGGCCTTGGCAGTGGACTTGGAGGGAACAGTGAGATGAGACCTTGCAGAGATGATGGGCCCTCGGAAGGACAGGCTGCTTGCTGGGAGTAGATGGCCCTGGAACGGAATGGAAAGGTCACACCTGCCTGTCGTCCACTGACTCAGTTTCGGGTCCAAGACCGTCCCTGTCGAGGCGGAGGGTCCCAACGCACACACGTCTCTCAAAACAGCAGCGACGGCTGTGACACGCGCGTCTCTGATTCCAAAGCGCGTCTCTGCTCACGGCTGTGACACCACACGTGCCTGCGTCGGCCCCCGGAGGAGCAGGGGCCCTGGAGCTTACGGGGCCGGCCCCCGCCCTCCGCCTCTGTCGGACGCAGCCGTAGGACACGGCCGTCCTGTGTCAGGCCCGCTTTTCTCTACTGTGAGCTCACAGGTGGCTCGGCCTGCGTCTCGGGGTCTGAAAACTGCTGCCGTCCATTTCACTGCTGTGCGTCGTGGGCAACGAATCTGTAGCTTCAGCCGGTTGTGTCCCAAACCCACAGGCGGAACTCCAGCCGCAGACAGGGGGCGGCAGGTCTCCCGTGAACAGAGGAGCGTGGACCCCCTCTCCCGACCACCCCGAAGGCCCTCCCGGGGCTCGGCCCCCAGGCTCACCTCACTTGTCATCTTCTGTACAGTAATTCGATTGTTTTTGTTCATTTGTTTGACAAGGAAGATGTATTACTTTTATGTTCAGAGTAATTGCTCAAAATACCACCAACCACTTAGGAGAAACGCCTAAGAGGTACCCACTCCCCATATAGGGAATATTTGTTATATTTTACATGATTATAAAAGTAACGCGCTTTGTGGTCAAATGAATAAGTGAGCACAACGTAAACACGTAAGCTGCGCAGAGACCCTGGCGGAGCCTCGGTCCAAGTCTGAAGGTAGCTGAGGCCGCCCACCGGGGGCCCCACCGTAGGCCCCGGGGCGTGTTCATCACCGTGGTCCGGTGCTGGTTGGTGCTGTTGGGGAGGGCGGTGCGGGGGGGCGGGGACTTGGAGTGCAGAGGGGAGGGGAGGTCCCCAGACCGAGGTGCAGAGGACAAGGACTTCCCGCCTCTGGCAAACACGGCTGTGGTTCCTGTCCTGTCTGTCACCTGCCTCCCAGCAGAGGTCAGAGGAGGGGCCTTCGCGACTGAACCTGCGTCTCGCGTTGCGTCAGGGGAAACGCCTCTGAGTTTCGTGCTGACGTACGAAGCCACCATCAGACACACCACGCGTGTAGATGCGGTGCACGTGTGGTGCACGCAAACAGTGCACGGGCCACGGTGGCCGCGGTGGCCACAGAGTCACACGAGGCCTTTCTCTCCCAGCTGCAGGCTGTGGACGGAGCAATGGGTGTCAGCGGGGTGCATGGTCGGGCCAGGCGGGTGCCCTGGGCGCCGCACCCACCCTGGTGTCGTGGCATCTCTTCCCCAAGCCAGAGAGAACGAGCTCATCCTCGGGCCTCGCAGCCCGAAGACCGTGACGCCGTTGCCCAGCGCCCTCTGCCCGGCCAAGCGGCCCTGTCACTGCGTCAGGGCCCTGCTTTCCGTCCTCCTGGCCGGTTCCGAGCTCGTTCACCGTTCTCTGCGGGTCCGACATCCACCTTGACCTGTCAGAGGCACCGAACGGCAGGAACGGCCGGAGGCCACGTGTGGTCCACATTCAGCAAACCGATCGGATGTTCACTGAGCACCGCCTGTGCCTGCATGGGTGGGGGCTGCGCCCCACGTCTGGGTCAGCCGGTGCGGCCGCCACTGCTGCCCGACACGTCGACACCCGGCGACTCACGTGTCACTGTCACTGTGTGCATGTCCCTCTAGGAGCGCTGACTCCGACCCCCCGGAAGGAGCCTGGGAAGCTCCCGCTCGGCGTGGAGAGGCCGCGCCCTATGGACCTCGATGCGGTGGCCCGCGTGCTCGCCGATGCCGTGCACGGTGTGGGGGCGGCCAGACAGTGGCGCGGGCCCGGGAGAGGAGCCGGAGGGAGGCCCAGGGAGCCAGCGGGCAGCTCCGAAGACGGCGGCACCTGGGGCGGAGACAGCCTGCGAGGTGAGCCGCTCCCCCCACCCTGGGGGGCAGAGATGGCCGAGTGTGGGGGGGCCCCCTGCCTGCCCGCTGGGGTGTGTCCTTTCCGCCCGGGATGTGGTGTTTGCCCCAGCGACTTTGCCTGTGAACTTTCTGAACGGGCTAAGCTGACCGGAGCAGTGACGGCGACAGGCGCATAGCTCTGTGGCGGTCGGGACCCCTGCGCCGAGGCTCAGAGTCAGGGAAACGGTCTGGCAGGAAGCGCATGTCTTTGAGCTGTGCGAGTGGACACAGGCAAATCGCTGATGAGCACAGTGAAAGCGGTTCATTCGAGTGTCTGCCTGAGGCTCAGACGCACCCCCTGAGACTGCTCCAAGGAGAAAGCAGACACTCCACCCCCAACACACACGTGTGCGCACACAGACGCACGCACACAGACGCAAACGCACACACAGACACACGTGCACACACATGCACAGACACACACAGAGATGTGCGCACATGCACACACACACGGACACATGCCTGCGCACACATGTGCACGCGCACATGCACAAACAGACACAGATGCACATGCACACACATACACAGACACACACAGATACACACATGTGCACACACATGCACAGATGCACATGCATGCACACATGCACAGACACGCACACACATACGCACATGCACACACAGCACACGCACACATACACAGACACACATGACACATGCACACACGGACACATGCATGTGCACACATGTGCACGCACACATGCACACAGAGACACAGATGCACATGCATGCACACATACACAGACACGCACACACATATGCACATGCACACACAGCACACGCACAGACACAGACACACATGACGCATGCACACACACATGTGGTAGCTGCCCTTGGGCGGGCTCAGGCTCCCCTGACCGTGGCCTTCTCTCTGCCCGATTGCTTCTCAGAGTTGTCGGGGCTCCATTAAAGCATCTAACTCGCTGTCTTGCACACAGTAGGCATACAAAAGACACGTGTCAGAAACACAAGTGAAAGATTCCTGGCTGAGTCTGTGCGTTGGGACAGAAGCTGCTGCCATCGGAGAGAGGAGAAGGCAGCGTGACTCCCCCAGATCCAGGGTGGGTTAGGCAGTCAGCGACTGAGAGGGTGATGCCTGCTCCAGGGCAGGAGCATCTCGAAGGGGCCCGTGGTGAGGTCGCTCAGCTTCGGGAGCTCAGGATGCGGTGGGCGCCAGTGGGAATGGCAGGTGGGATGCTGATTTAGAGAAGTGACCACCCCAGAGAAGTCGCCCAAGTCAATGAATCTGAAGACAACTCATGTGAGACGGTTTGGGGCAGACACTTGACTTTTTCGAGTTTTACACTGGTCTTTCCTCGCTGATGACACACAGCCCCACGGAGCTGACGATGTTGTTGTGACCGACTCTGCCGTTCCCGTTTAGCTGCTAACCCCCTCCTCGTCCCAGAAGCCCACAGAGCACGGTTACTATGCTGTAAACAGAGTTCAGAGTAGGAATCACGCCAACATCACTATGCAGAGAAGGGCTCCGTGGCCGTGTGCCACCGCACCTCGCGATGACACTCTGGACGAGGGTTTCAGCCACTTCTGTCTTTCACAGCTAACGGAGTGCAGGACGACGGTGGAGGGGCCGACGAGCAGGTGAGCCACACCGTCTCGCGTGTCCGGCGCACGTTTAGCCACAGCTGTGTCTATTGTCGTCTGTTCGTGGCTTGGGGACATTTATGGAACGCGAAGTTTTGTTTTGTTTTGTTTTTCTAGGAAAGAATGGGAAAATCCCCCATAATCCCCAAATTGAGAAAAGTATAAAGACTATATTCAAAATTGTATTTAAATACATACCATCTGTTTTCAGGTTATTCAGTAATATTTAACCATCATAGAAGTATGAAAAATATGGTTAATACAAAGAAGAAAATTGGTATTCCTTAGAATTTCCGCACGCAGGGATGGGGTCGATAGCGTCACGTGACACCACCGGACGCCCGTGTGTGTCCTCGAGGCTGCGCTGACCCCCATGTACATGGTTCTGATACGCATCTCCGCTCGGTTGAAAATTTCTCGTCTAGATGTAATTCTAAATATAGGCTGTTAAGGCTTTGCCTTCAGCTTTCCATGTCAAGTTGCCCGTTATCGTCCCGTGTGGATGACTTTGCCACAGACGGCCCCGTGGACGTCGACAGTCTTCCTCCTAGATGTCATCTCACGTGAGTTCTCTTTCTGCCAGGTCCACCGTCTGCGCCTCGAGCTCGGGGACGTCCCACAGGACCCCAGGTCTCAGCGCCTGCCTGGGGCCTCCCCTCTCGCGGGGCCCTTCGGAGCGGAGACGAGGAAAGCGGAGGGCGCCGAGGACGCCTGGCCGTGGGAGGAGGAGCGGGCCGGGGTGGAGAACGTGCGGAGCCAGACGTATTCCAAGGAGCTGCGGGGCCAGGGCGACGGCCTTGGGGGGCGCCAGCCCTGGGCTCCGGGCGCCCTGCAGGTGGACGCGTCCCTGGGGGCAGGCGCTCGGGGGCGCCCGGACGGTGGCCTGCGCCTGGCAGTCACGGCCTCCGAGGAGGAGTACGGCTATATCGTGACAGCAGACGAGTGAGTGGCTCTGGTCATTGTGTCGCGGGCCCAGCGCCCTGGGAGATGGGGGTGGCAGCCAGGTGTCTCAGGTCAGGGGGCAGCCGTCCTCTGTCCCAGCGCTTCCCACTGGGACCCCGGCCTGAGGGCTTCTCCCCCACATGAACCCCAGGCACAGCCCTGCCGTCCCCCTGGGCGGGGCCCCGTCGCCTGCTCAGACCGCAGGGCACACGGCGCGGCGCTATCTGCAGGCGGGGCCGGCGGGGAGTTGGGAGCCGGGCCCGGGCTGGGCAGGGGCACCGGTCCGTGTGGGACGCTGGCTCCAGGCCTGTGGAAGCTCCTCGGGCTTTGTCTCCCACGCCGGTCTCCAGATACCAGGACTCAGGTCACCCTGCCTCAGAGGGCAAACCAGGCCTCACGGCAGAGTGTTCCAGCCTCAGCTTCACTTTGCTCTAAGTGTGAGGAGGGACCGGATTCGAACACCATGTACCTCGCAGGTGACCAGCTATCGGCCCCATTTCCCAGGTCATCTCATTGATGAGTCTGACACTGGATGCTGCGTTTTATAAAAATGTTGTGTTTTCTTCAAGCAATGAAAGGGATGTTTCAAAGGAAAAACTTTTCCAGCTACACACACCTGTGTGTGCAGCACGTGTGTCCAGGTGTGTGCGCGTGTGTAAAATTTTGCTTTCGCTCTCCGGCGTCCATGAGTGCAGGTGTTTCTGCATAATGAAAGGGATGTTTCAAAGGAAAAACTGTTCCAGCTACACACACGTGTGTGTGTGTGCAGCGCGTGTGTCCAGGTGTGTGTGCGTGTGTAAAATTTTGCTTGCGCTCTCCGGCGTCCATGAGTGCAGGTGTTTCTGCACGAGTTCGGAAGTCGATCCCGACTTGGTGACGCTCTCAGTGGGGAAGGGCCGCCTGGAGCCAGGCCCGCTCTCCCTGCCAACGCCGTGAACCTCGTCCGCGCTCGCGCCCCGACCGAAAGCAGCCCGCCGGCTCGCGTGCGTTGCCGCGCCAGGGCGGATGGCAGGTCTCAGCCGGGAAGTCGTGGCAAACCGCGACTGTCAGACGTACTTCACTGAGTTCAAACCACAGACCGTGCATCAAAGCCAGATTAACGGTTAATACTCTTTCTGGCTGTAGACGGTGTCCTCGCTCGTGCGTGTGGAGATGTCCCCAGAGCTGACACTTCGAGCTCGCACCAAGGCGGCGACACTATCTTTCGAGGGGTTTCTGCTAAGATGCGTCTGCTCCATGTGGCTCTCTCTGTCCTCGTGCAGCTTTTCTTAGAATTAGCAGTGCCCGGCGGGTCGGCTTTAGAATCCTGCTGTGCAGAGACGTGCAGATGTGACTGAGCACACGGCTCTGTGCTAGGAAGGCCAGCGTGACGCTCGCAAAACATTTCAGTAGCCTGTTACCGATTCTGAACTGTCCAACGCCCCATGTTATGCATCGTCCCTTCCTTGGGAAGCATCACGTGTTGTATGGATGTGTGCTTATGTCTGTGTGTTTGTGGGTTTATGTCTGTGTGTGTGCGTATGTGTGTGTGTGCATGCATGTGTACTATGTGGACATGCATGCACTGTCAGTGCATGTGTGTGCACTGTGTGCATGCGTGTGTTTGTGTGTACTGTATAAATGTGTGTATATGCGCACATGTGTACTGTGCACTGTGTGCATGTGTATTCACATGTATGTGTGCACTGTATAAACATGTTTATGTACATATGGGTAGTGTGTACTGGATGCATGTGTACATGTGTGTGCTGTGTGTGCGTGTGTGCTGTGTGTATACTGTATATACATATGTTCATGCACATATGTGTAGTGTCTACTGTGTGTGCTGTGCGTGTATGTGTGTGTACTGTATATATGTGTGCTTATGTGCTGTAGGCATGTGTGCATATGTGTACTGTGTGTGTACTGTGTACATGTATATGTAGTGTGTGCTGTGTGTGCGTGTCCATGTGCATATGTGTGTACTGTATATATGTGTGTTTGCGTATGTGTGTAGCGCGTGCTGTGTGTGCTGTGTGTGTGCATTGTATATATGTGTGCTTATGCACATATGTGGAGTGCATGCTGTGGGCATGTGTGCATGTGTGTACTGTGTGTGTTTGTGTGTGTGCTGTGTGCATGCATGTGTAGTGTGTGCTGTGCATGTGCGTGTATGTGTGTGCTGTGTATTTGTGTGTCTTTATGCGCATATGTACAGTGTGTGCTGTGTGTGCATGTGTGTATGTGTGTGCTGTGTGTATGTGTGTGCTGTATATATGTATGTTTATGCGCATATGCGCATGTGTGCTGTGTGTGCATGTGTGTATGTGTGTGCTGTGTGAGCGTGTGTGTGCGCGCACATGCGTGTGTGATCACTGATGGGACCTCCACTGCAGAGCTGCTCTGGGAGTCCACCCTCCACCCAGGACATTGGTGCCCTCGTGTCCCGATACCCAGTGGCTGGTTCACAGCATAAGGTGACGGCACTTGCAGGAGACGCTGGCCGCGGTGCCCTCGCGGGGTCCTGGGGCTCAGCCCGGAGGATGGTGCGTCGTCTGGAGGCTTCGAGCAGGACGGACCACCGGGGCTGGTGTCTGCGCCAGGGCCGGTCGGCGGGCAGGAGAGCGGCCCGGGGAGGGGGGCGTGTGTGTGCGCGCACATGCGTGTGTGATCACTGATGGGACCTCCACTGCAGAGCTGCTCTGGGAGTCCACCCTCCCCCCAGGACATTGGTGCCCTCGTGTCCCGATACCCAGTGGCTGGTTCACAGCATAAGGTGACGGCACTTGCAGGAGACGCTGGCCGCGGTGCCCTCGCTCGGGGTCCTGGGGCTCAGCCCAGAGGATGGTGCGTCGTCTGGAGGCTTCGAGCAGGATGGGCCACCAGGGCTGGTGTCTGCGCCAGGGCCAGTCGGCGGGCAGGAGAGCGGCCCAGGGAGTGGTCAGCATGTCTGAGGAGGCGGCCTGGGGTGCTGGGTGCCCCCGCCCGGCTGACCTCCTGGCAGGAAGGCAGTGTCGCTGGGGAGGGGTTCTTTGCGCTCGGAGTGTGTTCTCCTGGAGAGCGTTCCCGGCCCATAACATTGGGACTTAAACATTTACCTGCTACAGCATGGATTCAAGAAGAAAATGATCTTCTCTCGGCCGATTTCACTTTTTCTTTTGCTGCATGAATAGGATAAAAAATGTATCGTGCAGGTAATTCGGCTTTGTGTCAATAGCTCTCACTGTTTGTCACAGGCATAATACGCTGAGGATCACGCCTCTGTCCCTGCCGTAGACAGAGATTGAGGGTTCCGCCTCCGTTATCAGATTAATTGGTAATTTGGGATTCTCTGGGGCAAGATTTCACCAGATCTCGGCTTAAGTCTTAATAGATCAACTATTAATTGGCAAGAATCTGATTCCATTCTTTAAAATAAAGGACTTTTGTATGTTTGGTTTTCCCATGAGAAGGAGAAGGGACGTGACTGTAACAGCGTCATCGTGGCATTGCGCGCCTGCCGTCCACGCACGTCTGGGCGGAGGACAACGTGGCTCAGCTCCGGCAGCACCTGTGCCTCGCGGGCATGTTCTGACGGACGGTGTAGGTCAGTCCTTCGCCATTTACATGTTCATCCTCCTTACAACTAGACCAACTATTCAAGACTGGACAAAGGGCCACAGCCATCCTCAGTCTGACAAGGATGATTTTAGAACAATGTCAAGTTAGGGTGACAGGAAGAGGTCACAGGACGGAAGGCGAGTTTGAAGCAAAGCGGGCTCCTTACCACGCAGCCCAGAGGGAACTCCTCCTACAGCTGATAGAGGCTCCGGGGCCACGCGGCTGTGCTGGGGCGGCCTCTCTTCTTGTGTTTGGGACATGTCCCTGCGGTAAGGACATTTGGGGTGATGGGGGTGCTGCCGTGGTCGTGAGCACGTGCAGGCTGACAAGCAGCAGCAGGGGAGTCGTCAGTCCGATGCTGGAGACGAGCACAGTCCCCTGGAGAACATCCTGGTCACCCCTCGGCACGGGGCTGCCCCAGCAGGCTCCAGTGGCTTGTGGACAAGGGTTAATGGGCCCAGCTGTCCCTCATGGAAGCGCCTGGCACTCCTGCCGTCCTAGTGAAGCGCGGTCTCTGTCTGGTCCTTGCAGCCTTCCACGGGGTGAAGACGGCCAAACACATGGAGGCCACGGGCAGGGCGGGAGCCTCGGGCCTGTTCCCTGGGCTCGGGCTCCTCGTCTGAAGTGGCGGTGGTCGCGGTCCCCGCCTGGGGGGCTCTTGGCAAGAGGGAACGTGATACCCGTGGAGCAGGCGCTTGGACATAGTAACCGCTTAGTAAACAAGCAGCATCAACCTGACAGCAACCGCCAGAGAGAACACAGCTCCACCTGAGAGAGGAGAGACGTCCATGAGCTTCAGCCACGTGGTGGGGGCCGCGGGAAGGACTCCCACCGTTTCTGAGCTGCCATTGGCGCCCATCAAAATTCTGAAAACAGACAGATTTGGTTATAAATTTTTCTCCCTCACTGTTTTCCTTACTGCAAAACTTTCTTCCACTTAGGATAAGCCAATCAGTGAAATTGCAAATGATATTTTCGTCTTCTAATTACCGAGTGTATCGAGTCATGACCTGCTTCACAGCAGACGCGTTAAAGCACCCGTCTCCGCCGGCGCGTCACTGCGCGTTGGCGCGAACGTTTCGTTAGGGAGAGGCTGCCCAGATGTCGCACACGGTCCCACCCTTCATCCCCTGCTGGGGATCAGAGTCTGGGAGAAAATTCAGAGGTCGCATTCTCCGTTTGCTGAGGCCCTGGGGAGTGCACGCGAGGGCCCAGGGTTCCTGCTGGGGTGAGCCGCGTACCCCATGGCCGCCCTGTCCTCTTTCCTCTGAGCCACCAGAAGCGCTGTGAGTCAGGCTGCTTACACCCCTCAGGTGTAAAGCGCCCACCCTGCTCACCCTGCTCAGCTGTGACTTCCCCTCCCCTGGGAGCCAGTGCGGTTGGAGAGGGAGGGGTCCCAGCTAAACTGCCAGGTCCCGTCC